CACGGCACTCTGCCCCAGCGAAGCCGAGGTCACAGATAGCGCTGCAGAACCTCGGATGCTAGCAGGTACGCTGGGCCTCTTCGGAAGAGGCCTTGGACATAACAGCTCTAGCGAGCAAAGCGCAAGTAAGACCTCATTGAAACTATTCTGCGAGGAGCCCGTCATCTTCGCAGATAGGGTCACCTCCTGGAGCACCGGTCGTGGTTACCCCGGAGGGCGTGGTGGTCTCCTCCTCCTCCTCTGTGGTGGTCTCATCATCCTCCTCCGTTGTGGTTGCGTCCTCCGTGGTGATTGTTGGCTCTTCAGTGGTGGTGGTGGTCGTGGTGGTGGTAGTGGTTGTGGTGGTGGTTGTGGTTGTGGTTGTGGTTGTGGTTGTGGTCGGGGTGGTGGTAGGCTCCTCACTGGTCGTGGGTGGTGGGCCGCCACCGCAACTCTGGCAGTACCCTTGCAAGAGGCCGCCAAGGCCATTGTTGTTCGTCAACGCGCCAGGGCATGTCTTGAAGCAAGCGCCCCTCTTGCTTGGAATCCGGCAGAATCCATTCTTGCACATGGGCCGTGCGGTGTTGAGTGGAATGGGGCCCGCGATCGGGCAGACCTGCGACTCCACGACATCGATGATCGCCGTGTAGCCGTCGTCACTGTTGCAGCTTTCCATGCACGCAGCGCTGTCCAGCTTCAATGGGCTGCTGCTCTCGCAGTATTCTTTGCAGAACCTGGGCAAAGCTAGGAGCACACACACTTCGACAATGCTGAATCAAGCTTTCCCGCTTTCTTGAACTGAAAAAGCATGAATCTGCGAGGCACCCTGATCGCGTGCATATGGCCGGCACGGGGTAAGGGTGGCCGTGCTGCTGATCGCCCAGCGCATTTGCCAGCGCAAGCTGGCATAAAGAGAGCAAGAAGGCGCGCTGGCCCGCCATGTTCAATGTGAGCCACTACTCAGTACTCCGTAGGCTGCAGCTGAGCCCAGACACTGCGTCATAATATGTGATGCTCTAGTTGGTGCACGTGTCCGGGCCCTCACATCTAGAGACACTAACAGAATATCTTACATGCCTCTGTGGCTCCAGCCTTCAATGCCTCTGCGACAAGTGCTGCGGAGATCAACGCATTTGTCGACCTCGGGTAGAAGCATCGACAATGTGGACTTGCCACGGCTCTGCACCCAATACATAACACGCAAATGAGAGCAGCGCGCTATTGCTGGGATGATTCGCTTGACCACGCCCATTGTAAGCTGGTAAGTGACTCCCTGACTCAGGTTGAGGCATCATGCTGATGCCGAGAGGGTGAACGATATTTCCGCGTGCCTGTATGCCGAAGGTCTCCGCTCGGTCCTGAGCTGAAACTCGCAGGGGCGGCAAACAGCAAGGGCAGGTGGCCGGGGCCAGGCACCTTCGCCGTCTCATAAACCCACTGCATGTCGGCCACAGAGTCTGCATTCATCTTCTGCCCGGGGAATCGTTGCTCCTGCTGCAGCAGAGGGGCAACTCGCGCCAGTTGAGAGCGACGCCTAGTTGAGGCTGCAGGTCTCCCACATCACCACCAGCGCATATTCAATGCAGTGTTCTGGCAGTCTAGGCCTTGTGCAGCCCACTCTGCCCAAGACTGCTGTCACAGCATAAACAGAGCCAGAGAGCGTCTCAGCTATGGTACACAGGGGGTAGTTCACCTGAGACAGCCACTTGCATCAGGCATCAGGGGGGATAGATGCCGTGCAAATGTCTGAAGCGTACGTTTTCGCATCCCCACCTGCGGAGGGAACGCGTCCAAAGAGCAATCAAAGCAGGACCTCCCCAAAGCCGCATCCGCGCTATCCTGTGCTCACTGTGCCTCTAAGCTCCAGGCGTCATCGTGGGAATTATGACGCGCGCCTGCAAAAAATGTGCAGTGCTGGGCCAAAGAGCGCTGTCTGCAAGCAGAGCAGCAGGCCTGACCCTTGAAGCCCTCGGTGCCGCCATCCTGGATCTTTCTGTAACTACCCAAGTATAGCCTGATAGCATACTATAACTAGGGCTGCCAGGTCAAAGTACTGTAATCACGGACTTAGGTGTACTTCCCGCAGAAGCCTCGTGCGTTTCGACACCACAGCACATCTTCCCATAAAGCATCCAAGGGCAATGCAGAAACGACCCTCGTTGATGGAGAACGAATGGAAACTAATTCAAATTGGCCGAGGTGAATGCAGAAGAAACCGATCTGAGCCGGCTGGCAATGAGAGGAATGATGGTGCTCGGGTCCGGCCTAAGTGGCTTAGGCTTAGGGACAAATCATACAGGATGATGTGTAATAGGCAAAGTTGAATGTTGTGCGCTGCAACAAGAACGGCTCTTTATGATAGATCTGCAGCCCTAGGCACAGGCTTTGGTGGTACTATATACTAGTTCTAGCGCTCTTCTTGAATGACCGTGCAGGAAGTAGTGCGGGCACTGATGACTGTAGAGTACTTGATATCACCACACAAGAACTGCAGCAGCATCATCAGGGGCTGCGGCTCACCGGAGGTACGGTCGACCATGTCGTGCAGAGTTGCGTTCATCCACCTGATGAGCGGGAGATGGGATTTCTCCAACAAGTGGGGGACATATGAGCTAGTCTAAAATCCGAGTATCCCCCTTAACAACCCTATAGAACTGTATAATCCCCTATATAACCCACTCTAAGAAGTTCAGACTATAGCTCATATGGACCGTAGGAATGCAAAAGGGAATCTTGAAAAATGTCTTAAACTCCCAGATCATGGCCAGTCAGAAGACCATGCACCGACACCTCCTGGCCGAAATGTTGTCCAGACCGGCGATGAGGAGGTTAAACCTATGGCTTGAAATTACAACATTTCAAGCTTTCTGGGGGTTAGCAGGGGGTAAGGGAATAGACAGTATAGGAATAATGGAAAAGAAAAGCGAAACTTTTTAGGCTTTAGGGCTTAGGGTTAGTAGGCAATGAAGGAAATTGAAGGAAATATATAATCCCCACATGGTGGATTCCCTATTCCCTACGAACCCCCAGTAAACAACAGGCATCTCCTGCTTCGAGGCAAAGCAGCAGTTGACATTGAACGGAGCTGATCATTGTTCATGTTGAAGTTTGCATGGCACGGGCATGTCGTGAGTATGTCATACTACCACAATATCCAGATGCCTGAATGGGCATAATGTGTTCTTCCTTGCTCATAGCTCCGTATTATTCCGTATTCACTTTAAAGCCGGCAGCCCGGCTTCCTGTAGAAGGTCTCATCGAAGTCTTGGATTTTCCCGACATGCGGCGTGACCTTCGCCCAAATCGAAAGCCAGTAGCCGACGTGATTTCGGCTGTGCGATCATGCCTTTGTCCCGAGGTGTCCAAGCCGGCGGTTGATGAAGGCTGCTGCAACTTCTGCTTTGGGCTTGCCAACATCTGCCTTCACAGCGCTTGGTTCCAAAGCGCATGCGCACACCGAGGCAGCAAAGCTACAGACAGCCCAAGGCTCAAAAAAGTTAGACACGCTATATACATTTTCCCAGAACGGCCTGCCGAAAGAGGAACTGCCTATTCAGGTTTGTGACCTGAAATTGGCAGGAGGCTTCAGACTTGTTTTGCTCAACAATTCAAGGCTAGGCGAAAGGCATCAATCGTATCCATGTCTATGACCTGAGGCAACTGCTTCAGAACGAACAAACTCAAAATCATAAAAAGCTTCGTGATAAGTGCTCCAGCAAAAACACGGCGGCGCTTCAGCGCAACGCCCATAAAGTGACGCAAGAATGGTATAGTATACTATACTATTGTCTACCGTACTATTCTATACTATATTACTGCATATTATAGTATAGTATCCTTGGAAACATAAAGACTGCAGCTGCAGCTGAGTTGGCTACATGAATGTCAGGAAAGCCTGACAAGGCCAGGTCCTTCCAAGCTCCAACACAAGTAGCTGCTTGCTGCTCATACCGAAGAGTTTAGGGAATCCATGCATAGGGATAATGGAAAACAAAATGGAAGCTATAGGGGCTTAGAATTAAAATGGGTGTAATATAAAGATAATGAAAATGGAAACTACAGGGGTTTAAATGGGTGTAATAAGAGAATGGAAACTACAGGGGTGTATATGGGGGTAATATAGGGATAATGGAAAAGAAGATTGAAGCTACGAGTACTGTTTACGGTTTAGGGTTTTAGGGACCAATGAAAGACCACTCGCAAGTCGGAGAAGCTGCTGCAATTGTCACCCAAAAAAAATGGCCAAGCCGGCCGTAACAATGGCATTAAACATGTTGAACCCTCCCTGCACGCGAGACAGCTAAAAGACTTTTAGCAACGACAGCTGGGCAGTCTTGTGAGAGGTACGTTCCGAAGACCAATGACTCCTGAGCACGGTTCTGGCAGCGACACAAAAGCCCCAGGGGCAAAGCTGCGGCCGTATAAAGAAAGGAATCGTTTGGGAAAAGGAAACGTCCCATCCGCCCATCTGAACAAACCTCAAGGCCTCGAAAGAGCCGTGCGCGTTTGTAGCACATGGCTGTTTGTGGAAGTACCACTAAGCCCTGGGAGGTATCCTCTACATTAACAAAGCAACAGGTCGCTGTACAAAGCTGCAGCAGCCTTCACACGTGCGACTGACTCGCCTGGCAGCTGAAGAAGAAGGTTCTCAGCGGCAACCTCCTGGATGTAGGCCTGAAGCGTAACTTGGTGCTTGATCCGCATCTGCCACTGAAGGGTGCTGAGGTCGACGTTTCTGTGGTAAGCAGCTATAGCGCCACCACCACGAAGACCGCCAGGGGTGAGCAACAAGTCCTTGGGCACAAGAAGAGCTTGAAGAAGCGCATCCCACCGCTTGCGGAAGGAAGCAGGCGAGCCAGGGTACAAAGCCTCAGACGCCTTCAGCCGCCCAAACACCTTCTCCAAGAACGGCAGCACCTCGGGGTTGTGGACTGAAAGATGCTGGACTCTAGCTTTAGTCCTGCGCCCAGTCTTGGGAGCACGGATCTTCAAGTAGCAAACCAGCCGCTCGGCCAAGAGAAGGTCACAAGGAAGAAGGAGGTCACTTCGAAGTCCTCGGAGCGCTTCCCCGGGTCGTGCAATGCCCCAGAAAGCCAGGAGTAGTATCCCTGCAACTCGGTGCCAGGACCACAGAATTGCAACCGCCACCATAGCTTTTAGGAGCACTTCAGGTAGAGGAGACCGGTGTCTGAGAGGCTCGACCAGTTCCCACTTCGTAACCAAGTTCCAGCAAACGTGGGCGTGTTGCCTAGCCAGTGCGGAACGCTTCAACATGGCGAGAATCAGGTGCCTGAACAGGTAGAGCGACTCCCCGTCAGCGTAGAGGTGCCTACCAAACTCGGCCACCAGCCAGCACAAAACGAAGGGCTCGACAAGCAAAGACGCGGCCGCAGCAGCACTGGTTCCTTCTGTGACCCAGTCTTCAAAGCGGAGCCAGATTTGGCTTTGGAGACGCTCTGTCTGCGCCGTCACCAGCTGTACTTCGTCAAGGGGAAGTTCTCGAGGAGGACGCCCACGACCACGAGGAGCTCGAGGGCCAGGAAGATCAGCTTCGCCGATCCGCTTGTTGGTCACCTTCGCGCAGTCGGACACGCTGAACTTGCCATCGGAGAAAAAAAAAACTGATGATACCATGCCACGCACTGCCCGAGGTACTTGCTGAAAAGCTTTGGGTACGGCTCGGCTACCTTTGTCCAAGGCCTTTTGTGTCGGACTGAGTAGCCTCTTAACGAGACATGTCGAGCGCACCCAGGACATCGAATGGTTTGGTTCTTCAAGAAAGAGTTCGTGAAAACTTTAGTAGGTTTCTTTCACGCGGCTCCAAAGGCGCAAAAGGTACCCCTCCAGAACCCAGTACGACTATCGCACAGCAGCGGAAGCCATTCTGGCTGTTTCCAGAGCCACGACCTATCTGGATTCTCTATCCAAAAGATCAGCCCAAAGGTGAGGCACAGAGTAGCGATGCGCACGAGCCATCCGGAGAAGGAATTCCCCACTTGCACCTTTTGAAACATGTTCTCACTGATTCCTGGCTTCCCTTGAGGAAAAGTGTTGTCACGAACGGCTGGAGTCACAGCAATTGAGAATGACCCGCACACCGGAGCAGCCCCCACTGCAAAGAACGCTCCCTCTCGGATCAGAAACTCCAACTTTTCTCGAAGCTCCGCATCGAGAAGGTCAAGCTGAGGGTCTTGTGCAATGTCAATGCAAAGCGACCAAGTGTCTCCAGCTTTTGAGATTGTTTTGGCTACTCCCCTGCATCCCGAAAAGAGGTCAAGATACCCTGGCTTGGAGAAATCCCATGCTCTGAATCTCTGATTTGGGCTTGAGCTGGGAGGCCACACAAAGGCCACACAAAGTGACTACTCTTGAAGCCTTGCAAACAAGCTGTCACATCAGGGCTGAAGCAACTCCGTTGTTCAGCAGGGGGACCCCGAGCACAAGAGTCATGAAGTTCGAAGTGATGGGACGGATTTCGCAATTCAGTCTGAGCACCAGGATCATGACGCAAGCTCGGAGTCACGGGAACAGAACTCTCCCCCTCATTTGGCCCGTCTGTGCGTGGCAGGGCCTGGCAAGAATCCCAGCGTTCCCCAAGTAATTCGGCAGGACCAGGTATGCCCCATTGAACCGGAAAGGTTTGACCCGCCTGATGAAGCCACCGATCCAATTGTTCAAAGTCGCCCTGAGAAGCTGAATGCCACCACGAGGGAAAAGACATACTAGGACCACGAATCTGGGCACCACGCGTAGGATCATCAGCAGGATTGAGTTTAGTATCGGAGAACATGCCCTCGGAATATATATCATTACCTAGGACATTCGGTAGCGATTGTAGGAGCTCCTGGATTGAGAGCAACGCTGGATGAGCGTCCCTTCTGGATACAGCCAAGGGTCACCTGGCTGTCGGAAGCTCTGAGACTCCGGCTCTCTGGATGATGTAGCCCCTGTTGCCTCTCGGACCTGAGGAAAGCCCTAAGTTCGGAAACGTTGATGTGGCGTCTCCTGTTGCTCTGGGCCTTCCAGTTGAGCTTGTACTCCGGGCAACGAAGCAGGACCTCCCAAAGTGGATGCATGGAATAGCTATGATCCCCAGGTAGTTCGGCCTCGTGCTCCAAATCGTCATGTAGCCGGGCGAGTGCCTGCGATGGACTCAGGAGTCTGACCCACACTGATTTCCGAAGGCAATGCCTTGCTGCTTCACGTGCGATGGCTACGGGGATCTTGCAACTAACTTCCGCCTCGCCCCAGCCAGATGCATCAGTGGCGCAGACCTGAGGCAACACCAAAGCCCGTATGTTCGTGACGGCAAGGGGAAGAAGAATGGCGCACAACATCAGTTCGGTCTGAAGCTCCGGGCCAATGTATATGATCTCATTCGCCTCCCGTTGCTGCACCACTGCAAAAACTTGGTTGAGTACAGAAAGCAATCTCCGCCTGTAAATGAATATCGAAACCAAAGATCCAGCGATCACCTGAAGCAAGTTTGGGGTTGCAACTCGAAGGCTGAGGACTCGAAGGATGACACACATGAGGGGAATGGCTCGTTGGAGGGACCCTCGAATAAGGCCGGCCTCTCCATCCACATCGGTGCCCCAAAAGGTAGCCTTACTTTGATCCCGGAAAGCTTTACCAGGGTGAGGAATGAGCCCCTCTCGAACATAAGCATCACTGAGGCAATCTGCGGCTCGGGCTCCGTCAGTGGGAGAAGGAAGAACTGAACTTCGTCTCACCTTTTGACCACAGACAAAATCATCTATAACGATCCCTCCAAAGCAAGGCGTTCAAGGTGGCGGCCCCGCCAAGGTCAAGGTTGAAGAAGGGCATAGAACACCTTCGCGCCATGCCAATGAAAGATGGCACGTCTGAGCCAACTCTACAGCTTGGCAATCTCCCACGGCGAGAGTATTTAGGGCCGGCACCAGGAACTTGGCTCCGCCATGTAGGTCAGGACGGTAAGCACCGAAATGCCTGCAACGAGCCTCAGGAACAAACATACATAGTCCGTTTCTAGCAGCTCTTTCTGGACTGATGGCAAACAGGTGATAAAAGTCCCGAACATCATTGCCGGAGAAGACCAACTGTTCCTCCGGAAGAAGCTGAAGTCGGCAGAGCCCTTCACCTGACGCCAGACTCCGAATCCAACGTCCCAAGGGTCTCTCCAACAAATTTGGCCTCCTCGAATCCATGATCAGACGGTCTCTGTCTTTGTCTTTGCCTACAGCGAAAACTCCAGACAAAAACTGGCGGCGCACCTCCTCCGGTCTGAACAGTGCGAGCCTCCCGGAAGAATCCAAGAGCTGAAGAAAATCATCACGTTTTCCTTCCGCAACATGTACCTGCACAGAGGGAAGAGGGCCAAGGTATTCTGGATCAAGTGATTCTTTCAAAGGATGGAGAAAAACATCACGGCCACGTTCATCTAAGAATGGGGCTGGGTCAAAGCGAGGTTCTCCAACAAAAGCAATGCGTCCAGGATCCAGCTGCTTGAAGGAAGAACCTAACGTGGTAGCCGTGTGCCCCAGGTGAGTCACATCTGCTTGGGGATTTCCTGGCTTAAGATGCTCACGGTCGGGCCGAGTGTAAACTCCGGCTGGAGAAGTCTCGACCAAGACTGCCTCGAGACGGCCCAGAACACCGTCCAACTCTTCAACTTTTGCTGCATTTCGACCCATGCTCTCAGCTGTAATGAGAGGATGAATTATCCACGCGTCTAACATCTTCTCAAGTCTTCTGACGACGGACCACTGCCTGGAATTTAACCTCCTACCTAAAGCCATGGATGAAGGCGCCTGCCGAACTCCGCGAAGATGAAGGAAGGACAAACCAATGACCATTGAATTCACAGCCCGCTTTCGAGCCCGAACCCGGAAATCGTCTCCAGCTTCACGGTAGGCCTCAGGGTACGGAGGCGGCATAGGCCACGGATCAGCAGATGTAGATGCGGTATGGGGCCCTGATCGACCCTCCTGTCTACGAATGGGGACTGTCTAACTGAAGAAGGTGCCTGGGCAATGAATTCAACAAACTGCATGCAGAGACTGGGGGCAATGGGCCGGCCTGGATGCCGCTGTTGCTACCCCCGTGCTCTCCAGCTCTTACTCTGTCACGCTGTCCCCGGCATTGTTTTTGCCCTTGGCCTTCCCGTTTTGGCTTCTGGAACTTGTCCGGCTTCTCGGGATCCTCCACTCTGTTCTCGGATTGAGGGCGCCGCTGGGACAACTTTCTCCGGGCCTCTTGGTATGACTCCTGCTCCTTGAGCTGCCCACAGGAAAAGCTCGAACCACCGGGGATCGAATAGAGCAGAGTGTTGAAGCTCGTGAGCTGCAGGCGATTGATGATGGCTGAACTGTTGATAAGGGGGTGGCCCCTCCAGAAGACTCACTGTCGAGACCAGCCAATTTCCTGAGTCGATGGAACTTTGCTCCCCCGCCACCATCATCAACGCCACTCTCGCCCTGGCCTCCGGCACCTTGTCCTGTATCAGGCAATCCCAAACCGCTGCGAGCTGCCACATCCATCTGACGTGGTTGGTGTAGTTCTGCACCCTCGAGCGCGACTGGAGCCAAGCCCGGACTGTGGTCTGACCTTGAGGCTCGCCCGGCAGTGCCTCCCGCAACCCAAAATCTTCTCGCATGTTTCGCTCCATGGTTTCGAAGATCATGGCAGGAGAGTCCCGGAGCGACCTCCGGAGGGCGGCCAACGCAGCTGAATTTCGCCTGGACGACCCCACTGACGAACCTTCCCCTTTGTCCCCCAGGCTGCTGAATCCTAGGAGCGACTCGAGGTCCGTCTTCGGATCCTGTTTGGAAGCTACCAGCGACTTTGCGATCTTGGTCAATTCCAGCACCGCCCTCTCCACTTGGCCTCCAGCTTCGACTGAACCAGGCGCGCCTGCCTCCGGCTCGTCTTGGGCCTCCTCCTCGGTCTCCGATAGAGGTCCAGCATGAACGGGGGCAGAAGGAAGGTCTCCGATGGTCCGAGGCTTCGCCTTCATGAGCTTGGCCATCTGAGCCAGGTGCTCGTCCGGGATCCCTGCCGCTCGAGCTGAAGCAACCACGCTCTTGTCCAAGCCGCTGATGTCGGTCTTCTTGAGGATGGGCTCCAACTTTTCCGTCTGGGTCTTCGGAGGTGCAGGGCGCGCCGAGCCGACTGCAGGACGAGTCTGCTCCACCAGTGTCGCCAGCGCCATCTTGATGTCGCCCACGGACTCCTCCAGCGCCGCAATTCTGCGGTCGGTCATTCGGACGCCGGGCCCTCTGCTGGGACGTGCAATCTCCGACTCGGCAGTGAGGAAGGCAAAATGGTCGTCGGCAAGCTGAATCAAAGAAGCCGCGTAGGGAAGGCAAGCCTGGCCGTCTGAATCCGCAAAGGCTGGTTCGAGAACATCTTCGTGCTCTTCGGCCCGAATCTGCGTTTCCAACTGTCCCGAAGCATAAGCGACCCAAACTTTGACCTCCACGCCTGAGCTTGCTTGCGAAGGAGGATCTCCCGGAATGACTCCAGCCACGACCGCCAGCGCAGGCTTGATCAGGGCACCGGCCGGCAAGATCCGCTGAGAAGGGGAGCGATGCCAAACAGGACTGGGCACGGCAATCAACAAACGACCCCCAACCACTACTATAGGAATTACGGGAACCGCTTGAACACTTTCCCCAACCGTGATGTCCACACAGAATCCTCCTGGAACTTCTTCGAGCTGATCTCCAGATGAAGTCACCAAACAAGAGTCCCGAACTCCCAGGGGGATGCCATCGATGTCGTCGCCCACGCCGCCAGCCTCTGCCTCCTCGTCTGGAAGACTCATGCCGAAGTCGAGCTAGGCCACCCAAACCCAGCGTGGAGAACTGCTTCGCGCGCCTCTCGCTGAGAGGCAAAGCCAGCGAACACCGAGCTGCCGAAGCCTGTCCCCACTTCCACAAGAGGTTTGATGTCACTGTATCGCACGAAGGTGCGAACAGGTCCTCGGAAGACGTTGCCCCTATTGTCCCGCACAAGCACGTAGATTCTCTTTGGCAAACCGATCTGAGTCTGGCCTGAGCTTCCCCTATTCGCGCCCTCCAGGCAACGAAGGAAAAAGTCGCCAGTATGGCGAGCCACCTCAAGCCGCTGATCCCAGGTGAGCGAGCCGTGATTGTCAGAAGACTCCTCCGGAGCCTCTGGTACCTGATACCCAGAAGTGGTGGAAGCAGAAGGCAAGTCCTCTGCCGATGACCGCGGTGTCCTACGGACCTCCAGCTCAAGGGCCCGAACTCGTAGAGTCAAGCAGTCAATTTGAGCTTGAAGATCAGCCAGGCTCATTCAAGAATCTTGTACAGTGAGTCAGGCCCCCCTCGGAGTCGGGCCTTGATGCAGGCCCTCACGTAGGCTCTCCAGAGAAAGAAGAGCTCAAGCAGGGGATACAAGACAAGCCCAATGGAAATGCCCAGTATCAAGGAGATCAGATCCAATTGCAAACCCCAAAATTGAAGTGAAGGAACCGGATCCAGGGCCGGGCAGGTGAAATCCAAAGGGGCTGGCCTCAAGACCTGCTGACTGAGGGCCACAATGATAGCTCCCAGAGAACCAGAAGCAGCAGCGGGCGCGAGCGAATGGCTGGCTTCCATAAACAGCGCTCGAGAGCAAAAGCTGCGCGGCCATGGTCAGGTTAAACATGCTTGACATGACGACGCTAACCTTCAATGGGCAACAGTAATTCAACATAGTAGGTGTGTAGGAGCCGAACGCCCTGCACCGCTGCATGTCGCACCCTAAAGATTTGAAGCCTGCTGCGCCTGGGCTAAGCCAAACATGGCAGTTGATGGGCTGGCTCCTTGAGGATTTCACATCCAAGGCCGCCAGCGCCAATCACCAGAACTTTGCAGCCTGGACTGCTTGCACGCTCCTTTTCACATGATTGATGCCCTGTCTGAGCCAGCTGCTTTCCCGCAGGTAGCTGATGGTTTCTGCCTGACTTTGCGAGTAATAACCCTTGCCTGGCTTCTCTGCGACTCTCGCTCGGGCAGCAGCCCCGGGCTCGAAAGCATCAGGGTCAGCGAAAGGGCTCTTTCTGGACAAAACTCTGAGGACATGCCCGTGCTTCTCGCCTGGGCTCGCTTTTGCTGTGTTCTCCCCTCAGGTCACCACAGAGCATCTGAGGCCGGAGCTACCTTCGGGCATGGTCCAATGGTACGGACCTCGAGAAACACGCCCGAAACAACTCCTTCGAGTTGCAGCTCGTGTCCCCGCCTGTGGCCGCCGCCCGGCCAAGCTCGTACCGCCACAAGTCAAAGACACCACATCAGGCCGTCTGTCTACAGCTGCAGGCACAGGCGGCGAATGCATGGCACTCAACATGGCATGGCTCAGCTGGAATGGCCCGTGCCCCATGATGCAAACCATCTATGGATGCTTCTTTCTGCGCAAGCTGTCTCAGGGTCCGAGAAAGGCGAGCACTTCGTCTGCAGCACGCTGGTGCTCCTTCAGGCGAAGCTGTCCTTGGCGGAGTGGCTCCCTTCTCCAGCCATGAAATGAACAGATTTTGCAAGCACGCACACTGCCTATCACGTAATAAAAACGGTGTGTTGCCGCAAGTTCCCACAACTTTGCTGCACTCGCATGCACTCACGCTGGCGTTGCCGTGCCCCAACGGGACTTTCATCTTGATTTTCCCCTTTACAGCCTATACTATACAATCATAATCGAGCTTCTCCCCATCTGTTTTCTGAAAGTGATGCATGGCTGAAACACTACGAGATTGGGGATGGTGAAAGCCGGAATCATGCTGCTTGATTGAGGGCGCCGCAACTATTTTGAGTCAAACCCGGCAATGAACATCCATGGACCTACTAGAACTTCCACATTATGCTGTTTCAAGCGTACGGTGAAGGCCCAAAAGTGGCAGCTTTCCGCTTGCTCCTGAATGCAAACTGTGGCGCTGACTACCGCTGGGCTGGTGCCTCTCGTGGTCAATGTAAAGCAGCCTACAGAGAGTGCACAGACACTCAACAGCGGATGACCAAAGCTTTCCGGGAAACCGCACATAGCCCATGGCAGCTCTGGCACGGCAAGCTGATCGCAGAACTCTGTCTCAAAAGAAGGCCTTTTTTCTGCATGAGGTTGCCACAAGCAATCTGCTGTTGGCTGGGAAGGCAAAAGCAAGAGCGAAGCAACCCGATGCCAGCACTGCTGCACTGATGCACTGATGCACATCGCATGGCCCTTGTCCCTGTACACTTGCGTGCTCAATTACAATCTTGCAAGACCCGCATATCAATACGTGCTGCGCATCTGGATGTCTGAAAGATCGCTGCGCGCAACAAGCAATCTGCTGACGCTGTGCTTCGACAAGCAGTGGCCGAACTCAGGAGGTTACGGAGCTGAACTGACAAAGTCCAGAGTCTCTGTTGGGGTGGCCTCTGCAAAAGGAATAGGATCGAAGTTCAAGTCCGCCAAAAATGTACAAGGCGACCCTCAGCAGCATCCTCTCTGAGGAGATGCCTCTGGGCGCCACCAAACTTCTTAAAAATCTTGGACTAGCCCGTTGCTGGTACAAAGATGGTGCAGTATTATAGATGGTATGAGCACGACCATGCTGATAACCTCTTTGGCCCACCCGCTTGCTTTCGCCTACAGCAAACTCTGTCATGGCCCCTCTGTCAGCATTTCGGGGTGTTGTGTCGTCGCTCAGCAGGGGGCGGCGCATGCCTCCCAAAAAAGCACTCATCGTGTTTGAGAACTCCTTAGCCTTAGACTTCAAGACTAACATGTAAACCCCCAAAGAGGGAAAATGGCCCCAGAATAACGACTGACCTTTTCCAAGGTGGCTTCATGGATCTTCGTGGGATTCCGTAAAACTTTGGAGGCTCTCCTCCCGGCCTGGAGCAGTTTTGGCCGAAAGCTTCGAATGAAGAGCCATGGCTCTCTGTGGATCTGTGTTCGGAACGCTACTTGAGGTGTGCGGAAGGTAGGTGTTCGTTTAGGGGAGGTTCCCACGATAAGGATTGAAGTATTTTGGGGTCTGCATCCTCGTATCTGTGAACACTACAACTTCCAAGTCCGCTCTGAATAAAACCTACATAAAACGTCCCAAGCGCCTGCTGACCCTGCGGAGAAACCAAATGCACCAACCTCGACCCACATGTTCATGGTAGATTCCATCAAGTGGGTGCTTGATAAGGACGCTTGATTCATGCCTTTATACAGACTGCCACATCCCACTGGCCGATGCCAGGTTAGGAGCAAAAAGCACAAAGACAGAGGCGCGATGAGGCGCGTGATTCGGAATGATCCCCGCGCCCTGATAATGAACCTTGGAAATCGTCCACTGTAGCCTGGAATCGAGGAGCCCTTCCACACCTAAACCCTTTGCATCCAGCCTGCATGCCGGGACACTAAAGCCTCAATCCCTTTGAAGCCCCCTAGCAGAGGCTAGCAGAGGCTATCCACAAGCAGGTCACAATATTTGTCCTGCAGCAGGCTCCCTTTCGCTCCTCCTCTGGAGGAAATGCGGCAGGACGTGCATCCATAAGCGACGAGACCACGAAAGTGTCCGGGCACTGCTCACGTTTGCCCAGGCACAGGACGTGGTGTCCGGCATGTTACAAGCTCTCGGCTGATACATGCACTGGCATTGCGGCGTGGCAGGTACTGCTTCTCCTCTGTTCTCTACCATATGCTACAGATGGTCGCGCACGCAGCCTTTGCTTCAAAATTGCAGTGGGGTTAAAAGGCAGCTCATGGTACATTGCCCTGAGTAGGGCCTTTGCATGCCTTTGCTGCATGAATCCAAAATCAAAAGCCTTCAAAGGTGCCGGATGGTGCCAGGTCTGAAGAAATGGTGAGCCCGACATGTTACGAGCACTCAGCTGATACATGCGCTGGCCCGAGAGTCTGCAAGCGTGTCAACACGTGATTCACACAACCTTTAAACGTCTATTAGCTACAGTTAAGATGCAGCCTCAAAGCCTCAGCTCCAAACAATATGGCAATCTCGACGTGCTACCCCCAATCATCAGTGATGATCTCCTCCCTTCCATCCACCATCATCC